AGATTTATTTGGAGAACTAAAAATCTTACGAAATATTTTACCAAAAGAAACAAAGATGGCTATTGATATACTGAATTTCTTAAAAATACGAAATTGTTTTCCAAATGCATATATTGCTTATAGAATATTATTGACTATACCTGTTACAGTCACATCTGCAGAAAGAAGTTTTTCAAAATTAAAATTATTAAAATCTTATCTGAGATCGACCATGTCACAAGAAAGACTAAATGGACTAGCTTTGATATCCATTGAAAATGATTTTTTAGATAAAATTTATGTTGAAGGCTTAATTAGTGATTTTGCAGCTAAAATGCAAGGAGGACAATTTTTCGATGATACTTTTTGATGCTAAAGGCTTCGATATCTGATTAAGGTAAGCACAGATACAAGAGGAACATAATATGCAAGTGTTTCTTATTGTGGACTGTTTGCTCTATTGGAAAGCTTTATTAAGGTGAGATTACATGCATTTATCTGATCAGTAACATTTTATTCAGGTGACCGAAGAGATGAAGAATGTGCAATAGTACTTGAAAAGTATGTTAAAGACTATCCAGATGCAAATAAATCAGGTAACATTTTAATGTCTGGTTAGTAATATTTTGTTCCCTACAATTTTAGGGATTCAAATTAGAATTTATTGATATTTTGTATATAAAAAAGTGTCATGTGTTTACTTTTCGCAGAGGGCCCCTAAAATCTCAGAACCGACCCTACATCTAGCTAAGACAATCTCCAACCCATTGCACCAAAATGGTGTAAATTTTACACTAAAATGGTGCAAAAGTCACATCAAACAGTAATTCATCTCCAACCAACTGCACTATTTTTGACACCAAAAAAGAATATTCTCAGTATATTCCTTTTTATCTACTTTTATATTATTATTTTTTATTCCCTATATTTTTAACTATTTCAATAATTAATTAAGATATTATTGGGGTAAAATATTATAAAATATTATTGGGGTAAAATATTATAAAATAATACAATAAAATATTATTTTATTAATTAATATTATTAGGGTAAAATTATAAAATATTATTTTATTATTTTTATTATTGATATTACCAAAATATTACATTTAAGAACACAACAAAAAACAAAATACGGTAAAATATAACTTGATGAACAGTAATAGAGTGATGAATAGTGCGACGTCAAATATGACGTCACACTGTTCATTTTCATCAAAATGGGACAAGAAATGAGGCATGGTTGGAGAAGTAAGGGCCCGTTTGGTTCAAGTTTTTTGCCTAGGTTCTTGGGCAGAAAGCCTGCCAAAGTGTCACTTTTGGCAGGCTTTCTGCCCAAAACGCCACTTTTAGAGGCGTTTTTAGGCCTGTCCATCCGGGCCGGCTGTAGGCTGTCTAAAAATCAAAATAGATAGCTTATCCCCCATCAACCACCGATGATGGAAGTTACAATCTGACGACTTCCAGAAGGCTATAATCTGAAGACTTTCGCGTAGATTGCTGAAGGTTACAATCTGACGACCTTCACGACAACTGATGGAAGCTCTACTTCAACAGCCTTCACAATCAACATCGGGAGTTACAATCTGACGACTCTCATATTCTCAAGGAGCCAAGACGAAGATTACAAGACAATGATCTTTGCAACGCTATGACAAAAAGAGATTACTTGGTGATAATCTCTGCAAGGCAAGACGCGGAGGTCCTCCCCGTGTTTCAACATCAAAACGCCAGGGTTCCTCCCCGTGTTTCAACATCAAAACGCCAGGGTCGAACCCCGCGTCACAACATCAAAACGCCAAGGTCGAACCCCGCGTCACAACATCAAAACGCCAAGGTCGAACCCCGCGTCACAACATCAAAACGCTGGAGTCGGACCCGCGTTACAACAGGCGAAACGTGAGCGACCCTCGCGTTCGTAGGGGTCCAGTCAACACCGACCCCCGCGTTTCTAAGCTACAACAAACCAAAACGCGAGCGACCCTCGTGTTCATCAATGTTCAGCCAACACCCAACCTCGCGTCTCAATCCTAAGATTAAACTTAATAATCTATATGAGATCTATACTGTTTTTCACATGTTATGAGAACTAAAATTCTTATACCATTTTTCTGTTTCTTTCATTGAGTAGATTATAAATTGAAAAACTGCTCGTTTTTAAACTAGATACCCAAACGACCCTTTAAAATCATACTTATGAACTAGGCATGTACTAAACGAATTTGTCAGAGCCTAACGAGTTGCATAATTTTGAGGTTAGGTGTACGATAGTACGTTCAAGAAGTGTATCGCGAGTTTTTTTAAACTAAAACATGTGTTATATATTGAGTACACGTCTAAATAGATGTTTATACATATTCAAGGAGTGTCCACCCAGACTCAGATATGAGGAGTGTCGGACACAGATACGGCAACCTAGATGAAGTGTCCGGGTAACCTAGGGGTTGGATAGTAAAAATGAAAAAAAGTTCTTATGATAACAACATAATTTTGGGAAGAAAATGAATGGGATCCTTCAAGTATTTCATGCAAAGTTTAATTTTTTCTTCGATTCTACAAGATTGAATATCTTAATTTTAACTAGTGTTATAATTGTATTCTATCACAGTATACACTAATCAACTGGCAAGAGGTATATGATTACTCTTTTCACCTTTAACTGGTTAATCTCTCAAAATAAGATCAATTTAACATCCTTGTATACCTTCAAGTATTCAGAACCCACCCAGAAACAATTAAAACTACGATGCTTTTGTACCTGATATCGTTAAAAACCGCAACAGAACCAAATAATCTCCAAAAAAACCCAATCAATATCTTGTTACCCTACTCCATTATCTTCAAATAGCCAAGGATACCCCAAATCTACCCAAAATAGCTAATTTATCTCCTAGCCAACAAATTGAGTACCCATTGTATCAGCAAAGCTAGAAGACTAGATGAGATTTGCTCATAAGCATAGTTGAGTTTGCGTCCATACAACAGTAACAAGAAAATAAAAGAAAAACCCTATGTGTAACTCTAATTTAGCTGAACAAGGATGAAAGAGTAAAGGGCTTTGGTAGAAAAGCTTTCCCCTGCACTAATTTAAAGGAAACCCATTTCTGAGATTTTTGTGTAGACAATGTCAAACCATGCTCTATCCAATGTTCCCCAAAGGAGGGGAAAAAAATCTGACCTAATCTTTTCACAGCAACAAAATGGGCACCCATCATTTCATCAATACTTAACAAATAAGGGTTCTCATAGAACCCCATTAATAACAAAAACCCAAACTACAACGAAATCTAAAGAAACCCATCAATTATTTTCCTGCATAAACCATATAAATAGCAACTATTCAAATCAAGTTAAGCCCAAAAAGAGCACAGAAATCAAAGAAAGAGGAAAGTTTAGGAAAGATGTTAGGCATTTACCTTGCTGAGGGAGAGAAATATCTCAATCGAACAGGGAAAAGGAAGAGAGAGGGGGTTTTAGGGGGAGAGAGAGAGAGAGAGGAAATGGGTGCTGTTGGGTGAGCGAAGGATTCAAAGTTGTCGACCAATTTTTACTTTGAAAAAAATATAGAGCCTGTGAACACTTTGCAAATTAGACTACGCGTGGATTTTTCTTTCTTTCTTTCTTTCTTTTTTCCCTCCCACCCCGGGTGGGTCTGGGGACCGCTGCTTGCCACGAGGACAAGAATCACGGGATATTTGATGATGACTCTTGCAGCCTTTAGGGCATCTCCAACCATGCCTCGTTTCTCGCGTTATTTTGGTGCAACGACACTATTAGGGGCCGTTTGGTTTAAGTTTTTTGCTTAGGTTTTTGGGCAGAAAGCCTGCCAAAGTGTCACTTTTGGCAGGCTTTCTGCCCAAAACGCCTCTAAAAGTGGCGTTTTGGGCAGAAAGCCTGCCAAAAGTGACACTTTGGCAGGCTTTCTGCCCAAAAACCTAAGCAAAAAACTTAAACCAAACGGCCCCTAATAGTGTCGTTGCACCAAAATAACGCGAGAAACGAGGCATGGTTGGAGATGCCCTAAAGGCTGCAAGAGTCATCATCAAATATCCCGTGATTCTTGTCCTCGTGGCAAGCAGCGGTCCCCAGACCCACCCGGGGTGGGAGGGAAAAAAGAAAGAAAGAAAGAAAGAAAAATCCACGCGTAGTCTAATTTGCAAAGTGTTCACAGGCTCTATATTTTTTTCAAAGTAAAAATTGGTCGACAACTTTGAATCCTTCGCTCACCCAACAGCACCCATTTCCTCTCTCTCTCTCTCTCCCCCTAAAACCCCCTCTCTCTTCCTTTTCCCTGTTCGATTGAGATATTTCTCTCCCTCAGCAAGGTAAATGCCTAACATCTTTCCTAAACTTTCCTCTTTCTTTGATTTCTGTGCTCTTTTTGGGCTTAACTTGATTTGAATAGTTGCTATTTATATGGTTTATGCAGGAAAATAATTGATGGGTTTCTTTAGATTTCGTTGTAGTTTGGGTTTTTGTTATTAATGGGGTTCTATGAGAACCCTTATTTGTTAAGTATTGATGAAATGATGGGTGCCCATTTTGTTGCTGTGAAAAGATTAGGTCAGATTTTTTTCCCCTCCTTTGGGGAACATTGGATAGAGCATGGTTTGACATTGTCTACACAAAAATCTCAGAAATGGGTTTCCTTTAAATTAGTGCAGGGGAAAGCTTTTCTACCAAAGCCCTTTACTCTTTCATCCTTGTTCAGCTAAATTAGAGTTACACATAGGGTTTTTCTTTTATTTTCTTGTTACTGTTGTATGGACGCAAACTCAACTATGCTTATGAGCAAATCTCATCTAGTCTTCTAGCTTTGCTGATACAATGGGTACTCAATTTGTTGGCTAGGAGATAAATTAGCTATTTTGGGTAGATTTGGGGTATCCTTGGCTATTTGAAGATAATGGAGTAGGGTAACAAGATATTGATTGGGTTTTTTTGGAGATTATTTGGTTCTGTTGCGGTTTTTAACGATATCAGGTACAAAAGCATCGTAGTTTTAATTGTTTCTGGGTGGGTTCTGAATACTTGAAGGTATACAAGGATGTTAAATTGATCTTATTTTGAGAGATTAACCAGTTAAAGGTGAAAAGAGTAATCATATACCTCTTGCCAGTTGATTAGTGTATACTGTGATAGAATACAATTATAACACTAGTTAAAATTAAGATATTCAATCTTGTAGAATCGAAGAAAAAATTAAACTTTGCATGAAATACTTGAAGGATCCCATTCATTTTCTTCCCAAAATTATGTTGTTATCATAAGAACTTTTTTTCATTTTTACTATCCAACCCCTAGGTTACCCGGACACTTCATCTAGGTTGCCGTATCTGTGTCCGACACTCCTCATATCTGAGTCTGGGTGGACACTCCTTGAATATGTATAAACATCTATTTAGACGTGTACTCAATATATAACACATGTTTTAGTTTAAAAAAACTCGCGATACACTTCTTGAACGTACTATCGTACACCTAACCTCAAAATTATGCAACTCGTTAGGCTCTGACAAATTCGTTTAGTACATGCCTAGTTCATAAGTATGATTTTAAAGGGTCGTTTGGGTATCTAGTTTAAAAACGAGCAGTTTTTCAATTTATAATCTACTCAATGAAAGAAACAGAAAAATGGTATAAGAATTTTAGTTCTCATAACATGTGAAAAACAGTATAGATCTCATATAGATTATTAAGTTTAATATGTATGTACATAGCCATGTCCCCGAATCATTAACTTTTACAATTTTTCCATATCCCGTATCCGCACCCGTGTTCGTGTCTTCACCCGCACCTGTATCCATGTAACATAGGACAACACGCTTCATTAGGTTATAAGGCACCCAAACTCTTAAAACCTATGCGTGATATGTTTTTTAAAATCTTGAGTAAATGAGTGATGACAAGCGGCTATCTCCTTATGTAGGTGTGATGTATCCTGTCTTCTATTGCAAAAGCGTCCTAAGTTCATTTTGCAAGAAAGTGTTCATTTACGAAAAGCAAAGATTATATTCATTTAGTTTTATTGATCAACGAGTCTGATTTTCAGAGTAATTTCTGGTGTTCTCATTTTAAGAAGTGATTTCATACCTTAGGTCATGGGACATAGCACACAATACTATACAATATGTGCATGATGTGTACAACGCTGGCCATCTCCTTTATGACTCGAATTTTTCTTTATAAAATTATAGTGTTATTGCATTAGACATTGAAAACTGTTATACCATGTGGCACCTCTAATAGCTAGTTTTCATTATGTTCATTGTTTCATCAACTGTTTCAACTTTCTGTAGACCTACCAAACTGCACCTTCTCAATTCTCTGATCAGTTTAATTTATCTGTGTTTTGATACTCTTCTGGAGTTTATTTTTCTTATGTCTTTCCATGCTTTGTACAATATGTTGGGCAGTGGTGGAGGCAAGTGAACTCGTAATGGACATTTCTTTGTGTATCACACACCCTTCATTTAGCATGTATGCAATAGTGCAACGGAAAAAAGTATAATATCCTTATTGTGTCATATCCTATACAGCTAAATTCATTCTTAATATCTTCAGGATGTCTTGGATATGCTATAAATTTATGATGCATGATATGACACTCGTATTAATCAAGTATTGAATGTATGATCTAGATGGCTGTATCTTCATTGACGTAATGCATACAATGGTATGTTTGTTTTCTAGAAAATGAGGTGTGAAATGGAAAATTTATGCATTATCAGAAGGAACCTAATGATGATATATGGTGCATCTGACATTTTGCAGTTCTTCTATAATAGCATATGCTTTTGAGTTTATATATGCAGTTGCATTTCCTATGAAGCTACCTTGTAAGTTTTTTCCATTTTCATTCCAACTTGACTCTGCTGAGTTTTTTTATTCATTCTTTCTTGATATACAGATTGTCAGACAGATGTCTAGTTCATCAGAGATGTTGGAGATGAAAATTGAAAATTCTGAGCGACATACAAGAGAGGATAATGAGTATGCAAGGCTTGTAATGCCGACTGATACAAGAACAATTGATACCCATGCTCATGAGCCTCTTCAAGAAGCTAAATATAAATCATTTTCCTGGTGGATGAAGGTTTTAGTTGGTAGCTTGCTTTTGATAGTGCTTACTTTGATCCTTTTAAAATGGGGAGTCCCATTTACTTTTGAGAAGGTATGGGTTGAGGCTTTATGTTGGATACCTTTTCTATGATTTACATAAATTTTCTGTTTGCCCCTTGAATTATAAAACTTTGGTTACAGTTTTCCCTCTTGAATCATTACCCTTTTTTATCATTAAATATCCTGAGATTTGGGTTCAGATTTTATAGCCAGAAAAAAACCCAATATTTATCTATTCTTACCTTGTTTTCTCACTAGGATATACAGCATCAATAAATAATTGTTATTTGTTTACCATGTATTATTTTCTTGATTGAGTTTCTAATATTATGTATTTACTGTTTAATATGATTGCAACCAGTTTCATCGTCACGTCCCCTTAAATTGTGCTGTCAGCATGTAGCATATGGCTTCACAACTTTTAGACTGGTTGTCAGCATAAAGTATCCCACTAAACTTAGTGCTATCATTATCTCTATCAGACCACTTTGCAACTTGCAAGTATACCTTATAGGTCATGCAATTCATGCTTCTGCTAGAAAGAAGAAACAAGTCTCCCTCACGAAAGAATAGTTGACAACTGAAAGCTGATGGGCTTGCTATAGGAGATTCCATTCTAGCCATAAGACACAGCTTGCCATATGCTAAAAATAAAAGGATAAATTTCACACGTCTGCTATCGACTATGGGGGGTTTTGCGCACAATTCCCCTAGACTTTCCAAATTTGAGAAATCTGCTATGAACCTTTTCTTTTAAAACTAAAATACCATGAATGGAGGCAGTTAGTTCAAGTTGTCAGTTGCTTTACGCATGACATGTTTGGACAATTTTGCGTGATCCGCTTCCTAACTTTACCAAGAGAGAATTTTTCATGTTTAGGGTACGTAGATAACAATGCATATAGTACAGATCTCTACTCTTCACTTTAACATTGTTACTGACAATTTTTCAATGGGTCGTGATATTTTTCTGACATTTTGAAAGTGTGCATTAAATATGGTTTTGCCATCTGTCAATGTGCTTACATTAAATTTTCGTCCAGAACTGTTGTCTATTTAAATCCATATTTCATGCTGCAGGTTCTCATGCCAATTATGCAATGGGAAGCTACTGCTTTTGGGCGGCCAGTTCTTGCTCTTGTCCTGATTGCATCCTTAGCTTTATTTCCAGTAATCTTGGTCCCATCCGGACCCTCCATGTGGCTTGCAGGGATGATCTTTGGCTATGGCCTCGGGTTTGTTATAATCATGGTAGGGACTACTATTGGCATGGCTTTGCCCTTTCTCATTGGCACACTATTTCGTGAGCGCATACACGTAAGACCTCTGAACTCCTTTTCAGCAGTCTCCAAAATAGTATGAGGACATAATGTTAATTACTGATAAATTTCTCTCTTTCTTTGTTTTCAATAAAATATGTAGTCATGGTTGAAGAAATGGCCCCAACAAGCAGCTGTTATTAGGTTGGCAGGGGAAGGAAACTCACTCCAACAGTTCAAAGTTGTCGCACTCTTTAGAATCTCTCCATTTCCATACACAATCTTTAATTATGCTGTAGTGGTGACAAGTATGAGATTTGGGCCGTATATGTGTGGTTCAATTGCTGGAATGATACCTGAAGCTTTTATCTACATCTATAGGTCAGTGATTTCACCGTATCTTGCGCTGCAATTTTTCTACTTGCGATGTACATCTAATGTAAGAAGTGGTTTTAGTTGGCATTTGTTGTGGGGTTAATTCCGAATTGACCCCTGTACTATTGCTCAACTGTGGATAGACTGCATGTAGTTCTATTGTTGCAGAAAGTGAACATTTTTTACTCTTTTACCCTCAGAGAAAGAGAAAATTATTTTTTTAACAATGGACCTCACGAGGGTGAATTTGTTTTTTTTTTTAAATTTCACTCTAGGGTCTATCTGCAATTGGGCAATAGTATAGGAGATCTATCCTCAACAATAGAACTTTAAGGGGTTCTATCCGCTAGTACAAGGGGTCTATCTACAAATGGATGATATTACAAGGGGGATCTATTCGCAAATGGTTGATAGTAAAAGGGGTTTATCCGCAACTAACTCATGTTTGTATAATCTACAAGACCCTTTGAACTGTTCTCTTATATGATGATATTTTGGTGCAGTGGGAGATTGATTCGAACTTTGGCCAACATGCAGTATGGAAATTACAAGATGAGTACAGTGGAGATAGTCTATAACGTGATCTCGTTCATTATAGCAATAGCTATAACAGTTGCTTTCACTGTGTATGCAAGGAGAGCTCTAAATGGGCTCAAAGAAGCAGAAGGCGACGGCAGTCCTGACTGTCAAGGAGGTTCCGTTGAAATCGAGAAATTACCACCTCAACAATTAAGAACTTTATCATCTTCCTTGGATGGTTTTGATGTATAGCATTAATGCACTGAACAATTTGACCCATGTCGTGTTTGTGTTGTAGAGTAATACATAAGAAGAATAGGTGATGGATATAGAAAGCATCCAACATCAGATTGGAGAATGGCTTCTTCCATTTTGTATATCCACTTCTTTGGCTTTCACGTTTCAGCTCTGTGACGGCTTAAAAATGCATAGCTTATGGGCTCCAGTCTCTCTTGTAAATGATCTTAATGGTAAAATTTTTTATTTATTGGTGAAGTTTGGGAAACATTTGTTGCGCACTACAGTTTTTAGTTCAGTTCAGTTCTTAGATATGGGTGCTAAAAGCGCGTAAATGCATTGCGCTCTGTGATACTGTTCTTTTCTTTCTATTAAATTCACGTAGATCTCTGGCCGAACCTATCAATTTTATTTATTGATGGTTGGAATAGTCATTAAAGCTTACAAAAAAGGAAGGGTTACCAAAAATTTTGGAAAATTCAAAAAACATGATATTATAACACCATCCTATAATCCTATAACAAAAAAAAAAAAAAATCTATAATGTATCCAAACATTATCAAGATCCCGAAGGAATAGAAAATGCATGGTGACAAAATCCAAGTCTACCATGCTCTTTGAACTGGTTACTCGTACTTTTTTTTACGCATACCCCCAAGAATCATTCCTGTTATAGTGATCGTGTCTCCTAGTTAACCTGAAAAAACTTAGCAGTGTAGATGAACATTGAGGGGAAGCAAAATTGATGGGATGCCTAATATATGCAACTGTGTTCCATCGAATTTAAGCTTTCGAAGGTTGCTACTGCGGTTTTACATAGTTTTGTTGTGATTGAAATTATGTTATACGTGAAAATTCTCTTCTTTTTGTGCCTATGTTGTTGTATGCAGTAAGTAATCACAGGGGAAATAAGCAAAACAATAAATTTTCTTTTTTGGTGCTGTTATTGGTGGAATAACTAATTTCCTGTGAACTTGTGCAACATTCAGTAGAGGCATAGTCCCTAACATATATTTGTTTTCAGGTTTTAAGAAATCGGATCACTGTTTTCATATGAATTTCCAAGGGTATGATGGGGCATTCCAAAGGGTTTTGTCAGATTCATACAAACCATTGAGTCTACATCCATCCACATAGCATGACATTTCTTCTCGGCGCATAAATGCAGGGAACCACCAAAAGCCGAAGACAGAATTCTTTTCTTTCTCAAAAAAACTAAATTTACAGAAAAGCAATTTGTACCACTGAAGAATCTAGCAGCATCAAAATGGCTTCCACCTGAAGAAAGAAAAATGAAACCAGCTCAGGTACAATTAAACCAGGCTTCTTAATAATCAGTATGACAGTATCAACCCTCATCATCGACGCTCCAAGAAAAATTCAACTGACATCACAACAGGTCCTCTTTAACATTCGTGTCCCTCCTCCTCAAAACAGCTTATGGCACTTGTTAAATACAAGTATAGTTTTACCTCCCAGCAATTTGAAAGAGGATGAAATCGTTCATGACTTCTGTTTCGTATCATCCACAAAACCTCAGCTGCATAAGACGTAAAAGGAATGTTAAAACATCAAAGAAACTAACAAAAGTTAATCAGCACTCCAAGATTGGATTCTATATTATATCATGATAGCAAGTCAAAGAACAAATGCTTTAGGTTGTCTTCTTCAGATCTTTAATAATCACACTAATTCCTGTCTTTATGTGCGTTCATACGGGGCTTACGTTCAAATAGTAGGAGTTAATTAATGGAAAGTGTTGCTGTCCTTATCGTGCGGATGACACATCATACCAAAAATGAGTAATTTGCAGAACTAATAGCTTACTCGACTTCAACATTGGAAATATAGTAAAAATCACAGAACTCTCCTGAACTTTTGAGGGGTTTCGCACAAACCCCCTGAACTTTATAAATCATAGAAACCCCCCAACACCTTTCAAAAATATACAACACTCTTTTGAAACTATTAGAAAATCTCATACACAACATTAACGAGCAGAGTAATTAGTTCGAATAATGACAAATCAAATTTTGTGATGAAACGCTATGAATGAGGAACATTCATGTGGGAGAACAACACCTGCCAATCAGATCATATTTTTAGAATCTTTACTCAACTGTTAACGTTATCTATGAGATTTTCAGGGTGGCTTTCTCTGATTTATAAAGTTCAAGGGGTTATGAGCAAACCTCCCAAAGTTCAGGGGGTTCGTTAAAATTTACCCTCTGAGAAAATTTTTAGTAATAACAAGCAAAAATCAAAAGGTAATGATCGAAAAGGTAGCACAATTAATTACTACTTTTCACAAACCAATACCTAATCACCTATGCAGGTCTTTCCAGATTCTGAACCACACTAACCTATACAAATTGGATTTATGTTCCACAACTCAAAGTTGGGAATGAAAACTTTGTTCTTGTTAAATTGTATCCTTCCAAGTTATAACTAAAGCTACGTATAATTTCATTCCACAAGCCACAAATACTGTTATTTGTAAAAGCATTCAAAGATGTAGGAGTAAAAAAATCAAGGTTAAAGTTGGACATTATATGCTCCGGGTTCTGAGTTTAGTTCACAAATTAAAACCTGTTGCTAGATAAATTTTACAGCTGATAGTTCTTCCTCGACTTTACATAGGTACTCTACCATATTCTAACTATATGCATACTTGATTAGGAGAGCAATATTCTAGTAGAAAACAAGAGGACAACTACCAACTAAAGATGACATCAACCAAAATTAATTTTTAAACAAATCAGACCCATGTTAGATACAAACTATGCGCCAGCCGTCCTAAAAATTCACACCAAATTCAAAGAATTAACATTATTCTACAAAGAGACCTCTAACTCACATGTTATACTTTATATCCCACTTATCTTTTATGTCCAAAATCTATTAAAACCACAACAAAGATTAACTTACAAACAAGAGATAGTATTCAATTAGTTACTGAATATAAATCTGCTATCCAAGATGACTGGATACCTGTACATATTGGCTAATGATTCAGATATAAGAGGAGCATAACCATTTAAAAAAGCAATTTGCTAGTATAGTCAGTAATAAATGGTGAGATATAAACTTAAACTACATGAAACTCTCTACATCCCTAAATTATTCAATATGATGTCAGTTCTTCTCTTCATTGCGCTTAGATATAAGGTGTGTGTTGGTCAGTCCATGCAAGTCCAAAGTTTGATGAATGCGATAAGTTATTGAGAATAATGTGTATTAAAATTTTAAGAAGTTCACCAGTAGATCACGAATTCATTTGAGCATTGAAAACATTATGAAGGCAAATCAGATGGACTAGATTCTTTATAGTAACAGGTAATGCTGCTATTTATGTTTTTGATTTTCTGCTGGCCATCATTAATTCTGTGTACTAGAGGAAGAAATTGCAACAAAAACAGTGAAATCAGAATTGAATTAAATATTGTCAATGTTTCATAAATAACATAAAACAGTGGATAATTAATTCAATCTTATCTACAACTTAAAGTAGCATGGTCTAAATTTTCTGGATGGAGTACATACAGAAATACATTATTGCATAGAAATGCATTATCATAATATTTATATCTTGTTTGTAATAAATTGATGAGAAGATAGCAAGGAAACCTTAGACATCAAGTTTTCTGTTGGACACTTTACAGTTATGCTCATTGATCATTTTCAAGAAAATATGTTTCTGAGAGAGCAAAACAAGAAAGCTAGAAGAAACATATAAAGCTTGACAAAAATGCTTGAAGATCATAACTACAGACAGTAAATACATCAAACTCACCTATCCTGGCGAAAACAAAAGCATCTGCTGGTTGTTGGCGTTTGAAGCTAACCAGTCTTCAATATGTGAATCCACAATATGTGCATCCGCAATATGCTTTCAGCCCTGTGAAATCTGAGTTTAAGATGTTAGTCAACCCACCATTTAAAGCAGCATACGAGTATATTAGCTTGCAGACTCATCTACTGTTTTCTTGTGCAAATAAGACTAAATACACTGTCTAATTTGGCAGTATACCTGCCAATGGCAAAATGCAGCGAACTTAGTAGCTCAGCCTGAGCGACTTTCTTAACTATCTTGTGATCAACTATGTAGACTCCAAGCTTTTGAAGGACTTGCACATCATCTTCATCAAGTATGTGGTTGACTTGAGCCCACACGCTTGAGTACTTCATGAAAATCAAATAGGAGAGCAAACATATTTGGGGACATTAACATATACTGTGTCTTTATTTAAGAAAATTCTTAACGAAAAGCAACCAGAGCATGGCAATCTAGATGGTATAACCCTCGAAAAAATACCAGTTTCAGACAGAAAATGTTGGAAAACTCTTTTACATTGTAAGTACAACATCCGGAAAGAGAATAAATTTACAGGTATCAATTGGAAAAAGAAAACCAGCTTCTACACTGAAAAATCCACAACAGAACCCAATCAAGAATCCAATTCACAACCACCAACCCAAGCATCCATCAAGATCAGATTTTGAAGCAAGCCCGGATCAATCTCAACAACCGAAACCCTCCTCCCTCAATCAGTTACATCCATAATGCAGAAAACAACCGCCAACTACTTCCCTCTATGAACATTACACTCAGGAGAGTAAAAATCATTGCTTTCGATGAAATTCCTCAAGAAATCATGATAAGATGAGGTTTTACGATCTGGGTTCGGTCTCAAAGGGGGCGAGTCATCAACCCTAGGCTGAACAAAACAGAGATGAGGATGACAACCCTTACCAAAATCCTCAGAGTAAGGGAAAGGAGCAGGGGGTGGCCTCCTCTTCTTCCTCGTGCAGACCTTCTCAAATTTGATCAATGGACGCATCACCAGATTCTTTACTCCGCTCAACTTTCTCTCAAACCCATTTCTGCTTTCTTTCTCTTCCTTCTTCTTCTTCTTCTTTGGTTGCTGCTGCTGCTGCTGCTCTTGTTGAATTTGATCATCGTCATCAGTATCCTCTGTTTCTTGTATAGATTCTCTTCTATCTGACATACAAAATTCAAAACAAGAAAAAAAAAATTTTTTTTTGAAGAAATAATGGGAGAAGGAGATAATTGAAGGAGAGGGATTTGGGTTTTGAGGATAAATTTCTATTTTTTATTTCATATTTTTAATTTGTGTCATCTGTCTTTGAGCGGCTTTGGAGGAGAGAGGAACAAGGGCGGATTTGGGAACAAAGTGAGGACAGGAACCCAGTTCTCCTGCTTTGTTAAAGGGACCGAGAATCGCACCCAACGATATAGGGGTGCTGATGTGGCAAATATGTGAAAGACGTTGGTAATTCCCTTGTGCCATACAAAATGCCAAAAAAAAAATATATTCGTTCCCTAAAACCACCAATCACCTTTCAATTTCAAATTATACATAAGTTATCTTTAAAATGAGTTTTGTTACAATCAACCACTTCACAATCAAATTAAAAAAAATTAAAATAACTTCAAAAAATTCAAGCTCAAGATAAATCTAATCCTCTTAAAAAATGGGAGGATCCAAGATTTACTATTCATGCTACAGAAATATCGTAGGAAAAATATTGTAGCATTGTTACTGTAACATCATGTTGTTACTGTAGCACCAGCAGAGGATCCAGGGTATATCTTCATGCTACAGTAAAATCACAGTAGTATTATTGCTATAGCACATGCGAAAACTATAGCACATGCGAAAACTGTAGCGTTTAAAAACCATTGATATAACGTTATTACTGTAGCTCAGACGGATACTGTAGCATTTAAAAAATATTATTATAACACTTATAAAAAGTTATATTTAAATACAGAATTAATGTAACGAAAATAAAAAAATATAGATCGCACAGGGTGCACAGCAGTGAGTTATATTCTAACAAAGCTTAGACACCAAAAAAAGGGCTAAATACTCATATTGGTATTTTAATTCAACCTCATTTGCCAAGAAGGTATTTTAAATAAAAAAATCGGCGTTAAGGTATTTTAATTGATTAAAATTACCAATTAGGTCATTTTTCTCGTCGGCGACCACTTTTCCGGCGAGAACTCGTCACGTGCGTGACACGTGATGACTTAATCTGTATAAATATCCATATTGGTATTTTAATTCAACTCAATTTGCCAAGAATGTATTTTAAATAAAAAATCGGCATTAAGGCATTTTAATTGATTAAAATTACCAATTAGGTCTTTTTGCTCGTCGGCGACCACTTTTCCGGCGAGAACTGGTCACGTGCATTTTAATTCAACCGGTTTTCTGACGTGGTAGTGGTAGGAAGAATAAGAGTCGATGCATTTTAAAATCCCCCATTTCTAAAATTGGTAAAAAAATTAGCGAAAAATTAGTGGAGAAATTACCGTATAAATAGAACCTCTTTCTCTTGCATCGATCCATGGCCGCGCCGGCGGCAATCTAGTATGCAGTGATCTTCGTCTTCTCACTCTCTTCTCTCCGAATTCTCATGCGTTTTCTTCTAGAAGTTCCTGGAATCGGGGGTTTTGGCTGCTTCTGTTAGCGGTAAAGGTAAGGTAATTGAGTTGGATCTGAGATCTGGAGTGAATGCGTGGAAGTTTGATCTTTGTTTTGAAATTTTTAGGGTTCGGGTTGGTTTGTTTTGGACTTAAATTGTGATTAAGCCACACCAGCAGCTAAAACCGAGCCACATCAGCAAACCGAGCCACATCATCAGCTAAAACACAGATTAAGTCATCACGTGCCACACACGTGACGAGTTCTCACCGGAAAAGTGGTCGCCGACGAGAAAAAAAACCTAATTGGTAATTTTAATCAATTAAAATGCTTTAATGCCTATTTTTTATTTAAAATACCTTCTTGGCAAATAGGGTTGAATTAAAATACCAATATGGGTATTTATACAGATTAAGTCATCACGTGCCACGCACGTGACAAGTTCTCGTCGGAAAAGTGGTCGCCGACGAGAAAAAGGACCTAATTGGTAATTTTAATCAATTAAAATGCCTTAACGCCGATTTTTTTATTTAAAATATCTTCTTGACAAATGGGGTTGAATTAAAATACCAATATGGGTATTTAGCCCCAAAAAAAGAGTCACGTCTTTTGAATGCCTATTTTTTTAAAGTGATTTTAAGTCACCTGAGGACCACCGCAAATTGTAAGGTGATTGGATAGATATGCTCCTTGGTTTTCATATTTTTTTGAAACTCAAACTTGAATGGATGTTAGATTAATTTCAATTCTCAGGATTTTTCTTGAAAGGATTTAAGTCCCCTCAGATGTAGGACTCTGTAATCTAGATTTCCCCATTGCCATAAAAGTTATCGGTATCTTTTTCTTTCAACATTGACTCCTATAAATCTTGTTGCTGCGAATTAATTTTCCATATTTTTTAAAAAATTAACCTAGCGCAAGATAGATTTGAATGTAAACGTTTAGTACATGGAATCAAACCCACTCTTTTATGCTGTGGAAATATCACCTTTTAAAAATCGTAAATGTCGGATACTTAGTGAAGAAATTATGATTTGCTTTGAAGCGAATAAAATTATGTGTAGATGATATGGGATAAAACAATTTTAGTCATAGTAAGATTGAATCATAATCCTCTTAAGTATTATTCTACAGCAGTTTATTGGGGAAGTGAGTTTTTGCATTTAAAGCAGAAGTGGAGATCACCCAAGGTCCTTTTTAAAAAGGGAAAATTGCTTCCAGCCCCCAAAACACAAGAAAACGTGCTCCCCCCTCCCAAGACTTTTTCAACGGGTGCTTTGCCCCCAAAATCGCCCGCGATTTTCTTCCAGCCCCCAAAACGAATCCCCAGACGTAACTCCGTTTAAACCCCACTCGAAATGCCCAAAATACCCTTCGCAACCTGTGTTCGTCGCCCTCTCACGTCGGAAACATAGCGTTTCGACTGTAGGCATTAAATGGTGATTAGAATGACTTTTTTTTGGGGGGGGGGGGGATTCTCATTTCCCTCCAAAATTATCACCAGATATATTCCCCTTCCAGCTAAAATCGCTGAGTTCCTCCCCATTCTATTACCCCAACTAATTTGTTCCTTCCATTTAATTCTCCTCAATAAAAGCCTCTTCGATTCTTCAACTACTCCCTGTAATAAAATGACGGATGGATCTCTTCTATGCGTGGTAATGAAGGCAAAAAACAACAAAGGTGGTGACGGTGTATTCGTCGTTATCAAAGAGAATACAGAAATAAACAGCTTGAGATATCAAGTGGCGGAAAGGCTTAAAATACCAATGCAATCTCTTTCACTGAAGTTCATATGCGAAAGGGAAAAGAAATTCAGTATTTCAATTGACAATGACGATGATTTAAATTTGATGTTCGAGTATTGTCGGCGTAATGGATTTACAGACGCGAATTTGTATGCTACCTCCTCTGGGGAATCCTCAACTTCGCAGAACACGCAGACTACGCCGGAAATTACGTAAGAATTACACTCCAGATTTCCTTTTGAGTTCACTGATAGATTTTGCCATTAGTTGTTAACCTTATGCATTGGTTGCTTAGGTAATGTGTTGGTTGTCAAGGTTATGTTAAGCACTGGTTGTTAAGGTTATTTGTTGACTGTTACGTATACTAGTTGGTTGCTAAGATAAGGTGTTTGATGTTAAGTATATGCGTTTGTTGTTAAGGTCACGGGTCTGTCCTTAAGTATAAAGGTTAGTTGTTAAGAATAAGTGTTGGTTGTTACGTTTATGAGTTCGTTGTTAAGGTTATCAGTTCGTTGCTGAGGCTATGTATTTTTATTACTACTTCAGGACAATACCGACAGAAAATTCACGGTGCGCAGATACCACGTTTTTTTATTACTACTTCAGGACAATACCGACAGAAAATTCACGGTGCGCAGATACCACGTTCACCCAAACGTATAATGATGAGCGTATTCCTAATGACAACCCCACCGGCGACTCGATCATACTGCTGGAAGACATGCTTAATCACCAAACAAAGATCCCAACTGAATGGCACACCTCCATACGTGAAGTTGGTCAGAAATTTGATAGTGCTGCTGAAGTTAGATTAGCACTTTAATACTATTCAATTGCTAAACGGTTCGAGTATGATTTTTACCATAATGAACAAAGACGCATAAGAGTCTATTGCCGATTCAAGTACACACATGGTTGCCCTTGGATGTTGTTTGCTTCCCCGCTCAGAAATTCGTCTATCATGTCCATAAAGAATTTCGAGTCTACCCACACCTACGATCAACATGGAGCAAATGCTGGCAACTCAAGGGCATCAATGAAGTTCATTGCTAGCCAAATACAAGCTGTTTTGAAGGTTAGGCCAGATCTTCGTGTAGTTGATATCAAGAACGACATGCTCTCTAATTTTGGCATCAAGATTAACTACAGTAAAGCGTGGTGGAGCAAGGAGACAGCTCAACAGGACCTGTTCGGTGACGATGATGAGGCTTACGATTCACTGAGATTGTCCTTATCTTTTTTATTCTTCTGAAATCACTCTTACGTTTTGGTTGCTAACTATACGTAGTAGTTGTTAAAGTTGTTGGTTCGACGTTAAGTATATGGGTTGGTTGTGAAGTTTAAAGACCAGTTGTTATGGTTATGAATCCGTTGCTAAATCTACTGCTTCCGTTTTTGTTGCTAACTATACGTATTAGTTGTTAAAGTTATTGGTTCGTCATTAAGTATACGTGTTGGTTGTGAAGTTTGAAGATCAGTTGTTATGGTTATGAATCCTTTGCTAAATCTACTGCTCACGTTTTGGTTGCTAATTATACGTATTAGTTGTTAAAGTTATTGGTTCGTCGTTAAGTATACGTGTTGGTCGTGAAATTTGAAGATCATTTGTTATGGTTATGAATCATTTGCTAAATGTACTGCTTTGTTATTATATTCATGCAAGTATGAATCCATGGTGCATGCAACTAATCTAAGGAGTCGTGTTGTTGTTGATGCTAATGACGGGAGGTTCAGGCGATTATTCATTAGTTATAATGCCTGTATTGAAGGGTTCATTGCTGGGTGTAGGCCTCTATTATTTTTGGATGGAACATTTATTAAATATCGTTACAGAGGCATACTACTTAGTGCTACTGGGTATGAAGGCAACCAGTGAATATTTCCCCTTGCTTATTACGTATGCGACCAAGAGAATGAGGTTAACTGGAAATGGTTCTTGCAAGGATTATGGATGTTACTGTATGATAGGGAAAATCCTTACCAACCTCCATATCGACTGGTAATGATTTCTGACGCCGACAAGGGTATTAGGACAGCAGTCGAGGAATTCTTTCCAGATGCATTCCATTCAAGGTGTGTTCTGCATCTAGTTGAGAATTTCAAAAAGAATATGAAGGATTTTGGGCACAAGGCAAATGTCGCGACTACGTTGGGCGAGCTGTTACAATCTGCGGCTTATAAGTTCACAATATCTGAATGGGATAATGACATGAAAGAATTGGCAGCGATCGATCACATGGCTTACGTCACTGTAATGGAATACTCCCCGGAGAGATGGGCAAACGCGCATTTTCCTGGTATAAGGTAAGATAGCTTGGTTTCAACGTTATTTTGTTACAGCACCATTATAGTTGTTTAGGTTAGAGTTATCCTACAGTTTTCTGTTAAGGTTAGATTTTTATTGTTATGGTTAGAGTTATTCTGCTAGGGTTTTGCTGTTAAGTTTAGAATATTTGTTGTTAAGGTTAGGCCTTTAATGTTTAGTTTATGGTTTTATTGTTAATGTTAGTATTTTGTTGTTAAGGTATGGCCATGTTACTTCAAACGTTGCTGAGTCCTTCAACAGCTGGATAAGAAAGGCACGATTGTTGTGAATCTTACCTTTGGTTGAGACCATACAGAAGCAAATAATGGAGCGCATGCATGAAAGGAGGCTAGTGAGTCAGAAATGATCTGGATACTTATGTCCGGAAGCGGAGATGGTGCTGTGTGATAATATTCAGCATGGTAGCTGCTTGGCGATTAAACATTCGACGAAAGATATTATGGTGGTCGAGTCCAATAAAACTTGCCGTGTAGATTTGAAGAATCGGACTTGTTCTTGCAGGTCTTGGGACATCACCCGCATTCCTTGTAAACATGCGTGCGCTGCAATTACATGGATGGGACGAGAAATTTATCAATATTGCGATTGATACATGACTGTTAACGCATTCACAGCAAGTTATGCACCGATCATCTTTTCCATCCCAGATTACGAGAAGCGCTTTGTACCGTCAGAAGAGAGAGTGTTAAAGCCTCCTCTCACCAAAAAAAGACGTGGCAGACCATGCACTAGACGAATAAACAACATGTCGCTGAACACCCATCCTGTTAAGTGCTCTCGATGCAACATGGAGGGTCACAATCATGCAAGCTGTAACGAGCATATATAGTTTAGCGTTTTATTGTCATATATATGGATTTGTTGTCCTGTATATCGTTACAAGTGATAAGGTCATAGATTGGCTGTTAAGGTTATTACTTGGTTGTCAAGTTTATCACTTTAATGTTAAAGTTTTTACTTGGTTGTTAAGGTTATTACTTGGTTGTCAAGTTTATTACTTTAATGTTGAAGTTTTGACTTGGTTGTTAAGGTTATTACTTGGTTGTCAAGTTTATCACTTTAATGTTGAAGTTTTGAATAATTAGTTGATATGTTTATCGATTGAATGTTAAGTTTAATGTTATCCTCCTGTTATCCACCTGCTCTTTGTTGTCAGTGTCACCGATTGTTAAAATTATCAAGTATATCGTTAAAATTGTTAAGTTTTATGGCTTGGTTGTTAAGGTTATTACTTGGTTGTCAATTTTATCACTTTAATGTTGACAATGGGAAATAGATAATGTTATTAGCATTCAAATGGTTGATGCTATCATACAGTCAGAATCCAAGAAATATTATACTGGAATGAGCCTATGGTTCCTTGGCTGATAAGGTTACGGGGTTGCTGTTCCTTTTTATCCTTTTGGCTTGACGTTTGTTTTAATGTTAGTATGTTGTTAAGCTTTGGTGTTTGTTGATGATGTTACGGTTTTGTTGTTGAACTCATGGGTTTGCTGTTAATGTTATCCCTTGGGGGTTTGTTGTTAAGCCTTGGGGATCTGGCATATCGTAAACTATTGGCTGACAAATACAGAAATCTTTTTCAAATTCAGTTTGGTTGCATTTGAAGCACACATTAGCAGAATCATGCGATGTTAACCTTATAATATTTACATGTATATTGTTATTAACAAAGAATTGTAATATATCATTTACAAGCTGAATTTGAAAATATATTACAATTCTTATATAGTACATGTAAATATTATAAGGTTAACATCGCATGATTCTGCTAATGTTAGTATGTTGTTAAGCTTTGGTGTTTATTGATGAGGTTACAGTTTTATTATTGAACTCATGGGTTTGCTGTTAATGTTATCTCTTGGGGGTTTGTTGTTAAGCCTTAGGGATCTGGCATATTGTAAACTATTGGCTGACAAATACAGAAATCTTTTCAAATTCAGTTTGGTTGCATTTGAAGCACACATTAGCAGAATCATGTGATGTTAACCTTATAATATTTACATGTATATTGTTATTAACAAAGAATTGTAATATATCATTTACAAGCTGAATTTGAAAATATATTACAATTCTTATATATTACATGTAAATATTATAAGGTTAACATCGCATGATTCTGCTAATGTTAGTATGTTGTTAAGCTTTGGTGTTTGTTAATGAGGTTATGGTTTTGTTGTTGAACTCATGGGTTTGCTGTTAATGTTATCCCTTGGGGGTTTGTTGTTAAGCCTTGGGGATCTGGCATATCGTAAACTATTGGCTGACAAATACAGAAATCTTTTCAAATTCAGTTTGGTTGCATTTGAAGCACACATTAGCAGAATCATGTGATGTTAACCTTATAATATTTACATGTATATTGTTATTAACAAAGAATTGTAATATATCATTTACAAAAAATCTACATCTCAACGTCATCATCGTCAAGTTTTCCCGCATCTTTTTTCCTCTTCCTGCCTTCAATCAGTAAATACGCTGTTAGCTTCGCATGAACCACCCATGTGTTATGCTCTACGGGCGTGACGTGCAGGACATCTCTACCTTCGATAATCGCTTGTACGAACTGGTAGACATAGATCTACAGTCATACCTGCACACAAAAACAAGGAAAGATTAAGACCACTATTGCTTTCAAACAAAATATAAAAACAAACTCGTAACCTTAACAACCAGTTTCCAACATTGAATTCCAACAAGGGTTCCGGTAAACTTACGACCCCTTTTGCTCCTTGCATGGAACTTTGATTGCGTCAAATACGCTGCGCAATTGGTTCTCATTGAAGCCAGCTTTAATGTAGTTGAAGGTTTTAATGATTTTGAACACAGGTTCCCAATATCCAGATCTCTCCTTCAAGGAGTCGTAATGCCTGGCAATATCATTTTCGACATCAAACTCCAGTAGATGCCAATGACCGCTATGGACAATGGGAACTAAGAGGTTAGTACACCCTGCATCGACCAAGTGTTTGATGTAGATATCATACAGTTCTTGGTAATCTGGTTTCTCCATATGTATCTGGTGCTGCAATAAAGAATTAACCCGATCAAGTTCCTTTTAGCATAGATTATGTGCTAATAGGTAGGTGATCACCATCCAGACATTAACTTACACTAAACCAAACAGGGACCACCCTAAATTTTATACTGGACGACACAAGCTATCATAAGTTGACAACAAGTAATTAATAATAGTATTGTTAAATATGCTAATGAATAAATACCAATCAAAAATCTTACTGCATCATCCAGTCGCCCACCGCGTAATATATTGAGAATCTCAAGCCGGCTAATAGACCCTACTGATCCGGTGTACGCTTTAATAAAACTGTAAACATGGACAAAACAAAAATTATAGTTAGCAACTAATAATTAGCAGCAAGAACAAATCAATAACTATAACAAAAAACCTTAAACCTAAACAACAAATCAATAACCATAACAAAAAAACCCGTAACCATAACAACAAACCTGTAACCTTAACATCAAACCCGTAGCCTTAACAACTACTACGCAACCTTAACAACAAATCAATAACTATAACAAAAAACCCTAAACTAAATAACAAATCAATAACCATAACAAAAAAACCCATAACCATAACAACAAACCCGTAACCTTAACATCAAACCCGTAGCCTTAACAACTACCACGCAACCTTAACAACAAATCAATAACTATAACAAAAAACCAGAAACCTAAACAACAAATCAATAACCATAACAAAAAAAACCCGTAACCATAACAATAAACTAGTAACATTAACATCAAACCCGTAACCTTAACAACTAACACGTAACCTTAACAACAAATCAATAACTATAACAAAAAACTCTTAACCTAAATAACAAATCAATAACCATACCAAAAAAACCCGTAACCATAACAACAAACCCGTAAACTAAATAACAAACGTAAATACTTGAGATATGAGGTAAATACTTACTTGTTACATCTACAAATACAAAAATGGTTGAGAGTTTTTTTCTCCTCTTCCGTCAGCAGCGCGACAACATCTGCTGACACCTTATAATTATGTACAAATGTATCCTTGTCGTCCAAAAACTTGATGATGAAGCCTCCTAGAAAGGGAATCCCCTCGTTCAGCTTATTCCTGTACATTTCTTCTTCTGAACTCATAAGGGAACTCATGTTACATTTCTTCTTCTGAACTCATAAGGGAACTCATGTGTTTTTCCCAGATAGAGTGGGGGTCACTTTGTAGCCGAGCAGGAGCCAACTCTGCTACATGTGTTTTTCCCAGATAGAGTGGGGGTCACTTTGTAGCCGAGCAGGAGCCAACTCTGCTACCTTTTCTGCACCTGCTCTTCCTCTCCCTAGCCACTTCAATTATATCATTGTCCCCTATGTTGTCCTTTTCTTTCTTCTTCTTCCCTTCAGTGTAAGGGGTGACTATCCACTTGGAAGGCTTCATCACTCTTTTGCATCTCTTCCGTTTAAGGGGTGTAGTAGCGGCCACCTTCTCGCGTGCCCCCCTTACACCCCTCTTTCTCTTATTCAAAGTCCTTGAAAACACAATAGGAACATCTTCGTCATCAGTTGATGTGTCAGGTACTGGTGGAGGGGCATCCTCTGATTGCTTTATGCCTATCCCAGTGTTCTCTCTTAGAGTGTCTATTTCTAAACAATCCATTCGAAGTATAAATATTGAGAAAACTTAGCCCCTTCTATCTAAACTTAACAATTTTATAGTAACCCTAACAACCGATGCCTAAACACATGGTGAAAATGTTACTAACCTATACAAGTTTTCGTCTCTGTATCATGTCCTGCAGAAGGGACATCAACCGCCAATGTTATTTCCCTTCCAGTACCCTCGCGTTGAGTACCTGTTTCTGATAATATTCAGAGTATAAACAAGCAAAAACTTAATAACCAATACGTAGACATAACAACCAATCTCTAACGTATAGTGCACAAGCAAGCTGACCTGTACAAGTTAGCAGCTTCTTCGCTGGCAGGGACACCTTCTCTCCCTTGTTTATTTCTGCCTCAAGAGCTGTGTCAATGCGATAGGCCTCTGGTGGAGGTACTTCTCCTGGCGGAGCATCTTCACTCTCCTTGTGGATATCAGTAAAAAATGGTTGTGGAGAGGCCCTCCCTGTTGGAGGGTCCTCGCTCTCCTTATTAGCTTCATCAAATAATGATTAATTAACATCCCCCTCGTACTGTATATCAATGCCACCCACGGTGCCTGAAGTGTCTGATTCAAAAAATAAACAAATGAGCTTAGGTACTTCATTGTCA